AATTATTTTGGGGCCTTCCCAAAGTTTTTAGAAACCTTTCCAAAGGTTCCAATTCAGGGTAATTTTAGATTTGAATAGGGCTCCTTTAATTTTTTTAAATTTAAGGCAAATTCCGGGAGGTAATTATTAAGCTGGTTTTCCCACTTAATTTTGCCAAGAGAATCATTGTTTGATAGACTCTTGATTTTTATTGTTACCAGGACCTAGAGGCTTTTTCCCTAGCTGAAGAGAATTAGTTGGTGGATTGAAGAAACAGTAGGAGGACAAATTTAAGGAAGTTAAGGTATTTGTTTATAATTTCTATTGAGATAGTAACACANNCANCGAAAAAAAAGAATCCATTTAGATTTACTTTCATAATATCAACATGGCTGGCTGGCTACAGAGTGCTAACAAATTATTATATAAAAATTTGGTTTGGCCAGAAGTAGTAGGCGAGCAATGTTCAAGATTTATAATGATAAGGTTAGAAGAAACTTGATTACTGAAATCGTCCCATAATTTTGATCGTGTAATCAATTATTTTTATAATTCGTTACGTAGTAGGGTATGGTATTGCCTGTAAGAAGAAATCATACTATTAAATTAATGTTGAAGGATAAAAAGTATCTTAATTCTTTCGTTTCTGTACTGTAAAATGGAACACATAGAGCATTTCAGTCAGAATTAGAATTCTACACTTGTCTTGTTTCCTCTCCCAAATTTCCCCTAAATTTTTTGCCTTTTCTCTTAGTTTTCTACTATAGCCTTGCTTATTAAAGCCTCAAATTCCAAAGAACGCTGTGATTCATAGGGTTTTACGGTTTACAAATCAAGATTTAAATTTCCTTGTTTAGAAGTAGTCTTCTGTTTTATGACATTTTAATGCTTTTACTATTGATAACGGCTTTTTAGCTAATCTGATATCAATTCCCAGCCCTTAGATATTAGTAAGTATAATATGCTAATTTTTTTTATTCAAGTATGCGACATAGTTGAACTATAAATTTTTTTTATTTAACATCAGCTACAACTCTGACCCAATCTTTAAATTCCTCTCTTCCATACTGAATGTCTGCAATCCACTCAGAAACTCTTTTAGTCAATTCACCAAATTGTTCCCCTGGGAGTAGTGGAACTTGGATGTCTTTACCTCTCCATCCTATTTCCTTGATTGGTGAGACTACAGCAGCAGTACCTGAACCAAATGCCTCTACCAATTCACCTTTGGCAGCTCTTTCTTCAACTTCCAAAATCGAAAAGTAACGTTCATTAACGTCCCATTCTTCTGGTGATAACCTAGCTCTTGCCAAAGTCAATACAGAGTCTCTTGTAACACCTTCTAAGATGGTACCATCCAATGGAGCTGTAACCAATTCTTTTTTACCTGTTTCTGTATTCTTAAAAACAAAGAACACATTCATTGTTCCCACTTCAGTAATATATTTTTCTTCACCAAACAGCCACAGATTTTGTTGATACCCTCTGTTAGCAGCTTGTAATTGTGGTACTACACATGGGGCATAGTTAGCGCCTAATTTTTTATCACCACAACCACCTGGCCAGGCTCTAGTTGCATAATCGGTTGCTTCCAATCTTACTGCTTTAAAACCAGTCTTATAGTATGGACCTACTGGAGATAAAATTACAAAAATCATAGCTTTATCAGGTACAGCTACACCTAAACCATCGGTTGTACCTATCATGGTTGGTCTAATATATAAAGAATAACCTTGTCCTTCTGGTACAAGATGCTTGTCCTGTTCAATCAACTTACCAATTAAACTGATTAATTCTTCTGAATCAAAAGTTGGCAAGGCAATTCTTGCAGCTGATTTATTCATACGTTTCATATTCATATCTGGACGAAAGATAGTAATCTTATCATCGCTAGTTCTATATGCTTTTAAACCTTCGAACAATTCAAAAGCATAATGTAAGACACAACAAGATGGATCAATCTCTAATTTACCGTAAGGTTTAATTTCTGGAACAGCCCAACCAAATTCAGCTGTCCATTCAACTGTTAACATATGATCAGTGAATGTCTTTCCAAAATTTAATTTATCATTTGGCAATGGTTCTGACTTGTTTGCAGAATTTGTAATTTTAACAATAGACGAATCAAGTTGTCCAACTGTCATTATGAGCGATTGTAAATGTAGTAAACTAAAATAAACTGTAATATCTGTTTGTTATTATTATTATTTGATACTATAATTAAAAGTCCAACTAACAATATAGGTATTTAAATTCAAGTCTATTTATGCCAAGTATATCGATCCAAAAATTCTATTTTGTTATCAATAGATGCTGGGGAATATATAAAAGTATTTTTCCTCATAATTTGATTTTAATATATATATATATACATATATATATATAAATTCATGATTAGAGAGAGACAGTCATCTTTTGTACCGCTTACATATACATTATTCCTCCTAGAATAAAAGAGAAATTAGCAGCCGATGGACTTGTTGTTATGGTTTATAGTAAGGAATAATTTTTTTTTCTTTGGGATCATTTACTAGTACAAATCAAAATTATATTAGGCAAGACACAGAGAACAAAAATTTTTTTTTTTTTACTTGCCTTCTTTTCTCCTATATGCTTATCAAGTTATATTCCATTTCATAAATGCTTACAGAGTCAGTGCAAATTAATACCCGCATGTATACCATCTGTAAATAAATATATTTCTCTTTCTCTGATAGAAACAATTACCCATCTAGTGGCATGTCCTACAGAACCAATCCCCCAACGAGCTAACACTTTCTTATTATTGTGATAGTATTACTAACCTTGTAGGCCATCATTTTTGATTATACTCACAATGGGACTAATGGCTGTTTTGCTGCCTGTTTTTAAACATGTAAAATACATTTTTTGCGATGAGCTTTTATTTCTTTTTATACCACCACTTGTACTGAATATTCTTACTGTCAATCCAAACAATTTTTGGTTCTTTTTCTTTTATAGCGCTTTCGAGTGAAAAATTGTAAAAGTTGATGTAAAATTTAACACAGGAGTCAACTTTTGGTCAAAATTATCAGAACTGTTAGAGAGGAAGTGACTGATGTTGTGGAAGATATGGTACTGTCCATAGTTGAAAAGAAAATAAAACAGAGAGCAGGAGGGTAGCAGATAACAAATATTATTGCCTATGGAAAGGCATATTTTAAATTGTGATATTCCTGTTAGTTAAGAGAATGTTCACATATTGAGATTGAGCAATTGATGGCGAAAACGCTTTTAGTTGTCATATCTGTCCAGGGGTTTCTCCGCTAATACTGCTTATTTGTTTCTATCGGTTTTCAAATTACATTTATATATTATAATTTTTAAGCTTAATTTTATTTTGCATTTTTTTTTTTGACGTGGAATTGACTTGGGGTACTGGAAATACAATATCTAAGGTAAATTACTAGATGATTCATAATTTTAAATATTTTAAGTATTTTCAAATCCAAATCTAAACCTAAACCTAATTAATTGTTAGTAGATCACCTAGTCATAAATGGTAATGCACTCATATATATATTTTCTACAAGACATTATGATAACACTTGAAGCAGCAAAAAAAACAACAGGAAGCTTGAGATATATAATATTCAATTTGAAATTCAGGTTTTTCCCATCCAGCTTGACCTTCAAAGGGTAAATAAAAGAAGTTACTTCAATACATTAATGTTACATGTGTTTTTCTTAGATACAATTGTTTGGTTAACTTGAAAGATAATAATACACTTGATTTTACTTAGCCTTATAACTTCATATAGAACGCAGATATTTAAAAATGAGCAGTGCAAAAGTTGCAATCAGGAAAAGTGTAAAGTCACTGCTAGCTACAATTCCAGCGAATGATATACAGGCCCAATCAATTAAAATCACTAAAGAATTATCAGAATTTTTAAAACCTTATAAAAACATTGCTTGTTACATGAGTATGGATCAAGGTGAAGTTGATACAAAATACATCTTACAAGAACTATTTAAAGAAAATAAGGAAGTGTTTTTACCTAGATGCACAACTACAAAAGAAACAGGACACCAAATATTAAGAGACAATAATAGTCATCATCCTCACCTCACCTTCCATAGAATGGAAAGTTGGGAACAGATCAAGAATTTAAAGCCACAAGGAAAATACCAATTGAGGGAACCGGAAGTTGAAGAAATTGCACCATTCCCACCAAAACTTGATGTTATATTGGTTCCTGGTGTTGCATTTAATCTAAAGAATGGTGCTAGAATGGGTCATGGTGCTGGTTACTATGATGATTTCTTCCATAGATATAAAATTCATCACCATAAAAAAGATCACACTGTAAAACCGATCTTGATTGGTTTATCATTGAAGCAGCAAATTATAGATATCCTACCAATAGAAAAGCATGATTATTTAATGGATGGCATTGTTACAGGTGACGGTGTCTTTCACTGGATTAACTAACAAACCTTCAGTTGTGATTATTATAAAATTTATGTTTAGAGAAGCAGAAATCATCTTTAATGAACAAAATAATAATTATTTATAATGCGTAATTGTATAAAAATATTGAAATAGATACTAATTAACTAATGCTACTAATAAATGATACGGCCGAGTTACTTTTACAATTTCATCACATTATTTATAAGAACTCTTCCTTATACAATACATCATGAGTGAATCATGAAAAATAATTTTATGAGTCGCTTAAAAAAATATAGTAAGCCCTTGACAACATATTAAATTATTTTGAAATGCTATTTTATGGATCCAGCTGCTTTATTGATCCGTTTATTACAGTTTTAATTGCATCATAAATTTAAGTTATATGCCATTACATGCAATAAATATCCATTAAAGCTTTATAATATTGATAAAATTGGTATGAAGAAAAAAATAAATGATGAAAAAGATAAACTTTACAGTCTTGTCTTTTTCAATGGAGGTCCATCATTCATCATTACCGGAATATTTTGTTGTTGGGAATCCTCATGTACTTCTGGACTCCTCCTTACGTTATCAAATGTCTGCTCTTGTTGTAATTGATTCTTTTGGTCTGATATCGGTACCCTGTCTTTCAAATATCTTATTAATATTGAATACAGATCTTTCCTAGTAAATGGCTTTGCTAAAATGTCATTCATACCATGTTGTAAATACGTTATCAAATCTTGGTGTTCGATGCTACCAGTCATAGCAATAATCGGAGTACGGTTGTCGAAATTTCTTATAATTGAAGTTGCAGTAGCACCATCTAAATTAGGCATAACTATATCCATCAGCACCAAATCGAATCTAAACTTTTCTAGTATCGAGATGGCGGCGAGACCATCGGTCACGACCTGAACAGTACAACCGTATTTTCTTAAAAACTTTGAACACAACTGAATCGATACATCGTCATCTTCTACAAGTAAGACATGGAAACCTTTCTTTAATTCATTAGAATCTACATCACCGATATCATCATTTTTCGAATTTATATCAGCACTTCCTCCTATAACATCTGGGATAGGAACATTAGTAGGTGCTTGTACATTTCGTACATTATCTGGAGTACTTTGTGATGTTGAATCTTGAGCATTTACCAATGATTGAGTAGAACTTTCAGTAGTTAATAATTTCAAATCCTTTTGCGGGGAGCTATATTGAATTGATTGAGGTAGGTCAATACCTTGACTTGTTAAAATTTGACATAATGTATTAAAATTACCGATTAAATTATCATTTACAGTTTTAAAAGTTAATAAACTTTCTAGAACGGTATAATATTTGTTATTTAATTTTTCCAGTTCGATTTTATAATTGTCATTTTCCTTTTTATAACTATCAATTTCTTTATGAAGCTTTTCCACTTTTTTCTTTAATTGAGTAAAACTTTCTGAATTCACAGTATTATTTAAAATTAAATTCATTGCAGACTCATTTTCAAGTGCTTGAGTACCATCTGCTTTATTTAATAATAGACTTTTTTCATCTACTAAAACTTTCTTCTGGGTTGCAGCTTTTCTTTTAATGTTATCTAAATTTGCTTCTTGATTTCTTTTAAATAAAGGATGATTAAATTCCCAACTTAATTCACCATACTGACAAGCCTTTCTTTCTTCTTGAGTTCTTTTAACTTTATGGAAATCGTATTTGTTTAATTGTCTTACGAAACTTGCAAAATTTGAATGCTTAAAATGGTTTGGTAATATTTGTGATGTAAAGCTACCAGTATCTAAAACTACAAAACTATCACCATTTTCTGTCCATCTAACTATATCAGGATAGTCACCTCTTTCTAAAATACCATAAATCTTCCGTACAAATTCATTCGATTGTGGTTTACTATTACTATTACTGCTATTACTGTTATTATTACTATTGCTATTGATATTACTATTAGTGTTACCGCTATTATTACTATTAATGGTTGAGTTTAACATGCTTAATTCATTATCTGTATCAGTTTTAATTTCATTTGAGTTTGGATGTGAATTTGAATCTAAAGTTGTTCCTGTTACCACAGTTTTAGCAGTCTTTAAAGCACTAAATTTCGTATCCAAATTGGCTTTACTGCCCAACATTTATTAAAAATATAACACCAACAAGCAAAGAAAAAAAAAAGACGGTAAAAATATAAGGTTATCTAATAATATACACAACTTTGTTTAATTTCCAACGACCTCTAGCTCTTCCTCTCTCTCTTTATATATACATATATGCAAATATGTCTCTATATCTAAATATTAATACTATTATTATACTAATATTGAAAAGAAGTATTAACAGTATAATCTACTAGTACTAGTCTGTCCAAAAGGTCCAGAATAATTTGAGACAAATATTATCAAAACTAATTAACTGTCGATGGTAATTTTTTTTTTTCCTTAACAATGATTAATCAAGACAAATATAAAAATTCAAATTTATCAATACCTAAATGTTTCAACTAAATTCGTCGTTTACTACCCATGAATTATTTATCATAATTTAATTTCAAACTGCAAGCAAAGTTACTATCCCAAATTTCAAATACTAATTCGAATTACACTTTCAAAGTCGAACCCAAATCCAAATCCATATCGAAATCCTAATCCTATTTCGAACTCGAAGTTGATATCACCTTTCTAACAAGATTAATAATAAAAGTTCAAGTATGATGATATTTTAATGCTGCAGCTTCGAGACTTCATAAGTCCAGTTATTAGATGAAAAAAGCCTGGACCTCTTTCTCTATTGCCTGCTCAGTCTGCTTTTGTTTCTTGTTTCTTGTTTCTTGTTTCTTGTTTCTTGTTTCTTGTTCCTTCATCCCAACCTCCACCACTTCTCTGATACTCAAGAGTAGGTTTGCTAGTTCACTAGTTACCTAACTAAATTGTCGATAAAATAAAAATTTTCCTTCTCTGTGTGTATATCCATCTCTCTCTCTCTCTCAAGGCTGTCTGTCCCAGTCCAATTTAGTCCAATTTAGTCCAGTCTGCTGCCGGTTGGTACTGTCTTGTTTGACAGCAGTCAAAGGAAAAACGTCAAGAAGTTCCTCGTTTTCTGAACCCAACAACCTAGAAAGACAAGGTGAAGTTGAAAAAGAAATCTGGTCTCTTTCCTGTAATGTTCCGGATTTCAATTTAGATTTCGATTTAAACAATAATCTTTTGACAGAGAGACATACATTTGAACTGAATTAGGTAAAAGAGAAGGAAGGCATCATCAATCAAGAAATCATGCATGGTATTAATTTGTGAGTTTGATTGCCATTAGTTCTTGTTGTTGTTTTTTTGTTTTGTTTTTACTAATTGAGCTACAACTGTCAATAAGAAGATTCTAAAAACAACAATCTTAGTAATTGATGAATGTGGCTTTAGTCTTTCTTGCTTCTGGAAATATCCCTACTTGGGAGACTTGATTTAGTTTAATTTAAAGTTATGATTTGTTCAAAAAGTTAAGGTAAGAAAGACAACTTTAGGTTGAATTGAAGGTAAAAAAAATATGTATAGTAATGAAAGTGACATCAATATATAATTATATCATACTAAACGCCGGAATACTACTACCAAACGTTACTTGTACTTGTACCTGCACTTGTATTTGTATTTGTATTTGTATTTGTATTTGTAGCTATATCTGTATGTAATTAAGTTTAGTTTTAGTTTTAGTTTTAGTTTTAGTTTTAGTTTTAGTTTTAGTTTTAGTTTTGCTGATTACATCCATGTATGTATCTGTAAATACGTTCAATTGGAGAAAAACTAGTCCCTCTCTTATAATCTACGTATCTAATAGAGGAAACAATTAATTTAATTAAATTCGAAATGACGTCTTTAAAGAGTGATGAGCATAACCTAAAATGTAAATTAATTTTATTTGACTAGTTATCTTAGCCCAATTATTATAGTTATTATCCAGTAGTAGTTGTTAGTGACTAAAACTAGCTGCTTTTAAAATTAACTGGATAGTTAAGGATAAATTAAAAGAAACATTATTTTTGGTATTATTTTTATTTGAAATACAGTTAGCTATGAAAAGTGAGGTTTTTGGAGGTCGCCTCCATCGTAATCCTTACACTTTCCCACCCCTTCTACTACTTTCTTACTATACACTTTATTTCTTCTTAATTGAGTGTCTGCTACATTTTAGGAAATATTCTTGTTTAGAAAACTAATTACGTAGACAACTTTTATAATTTCCTAATTTGTCCTCCGTCATATCCTTATATTTTTGCAGGTTAAAAGCTAAAGAGTCGAATTATAACCATTTATGGAAACATATTAGGACCTTTTCCAGTATTTTACTTTTTAGATGTTTCATTAAAGGTAATACACTAATTCGATAATCCAGTCTTTAAAACATTCAGCAACTTAGCTCAGAAGAAAAGAAAAATATACAAACTTCGCAATGCCTACCTAGCTCAGAACTGTATTATATTCATCAAATAAAGAATTTAAATTTACGGACTGAGACTGAAGATTAAAAACATAAAATAAAACAATACAGACAGACATGCCCCACCTTAGTAATAATAACAAAAATAATTTGATTTATGTATTGTATATATTGATAAATAAGTGTATATAATAATAGGTAGTTCTTTCAAATTTTTGTTCTTTTCTTGTATAATAATTAATGGATGACAATAATATTTAATAGAGAATCTAAAAAACAAATTTAGATTGACATTTGTAAATATCATTCCTGAAACGTATACGTTTCTGTCCTCCAATTCAGTAATAATAATCAGGAGAGCGTCGTGCCTCTATATGTTTTTTTCTTTATTGATTAATCCTGTCGTTTATTTATTCTTTATTTTGTTCTAATGTTTTTTCCTACCAACGTTAGATTTCGAATCTTCCACTGACAAATTCATCATCCATGTGATGGTCACCTTCAAAATCTAGTCGTGATGCTCCATTCATACCATTGCTGTTATCTCTAATATCATCACCTTCATCTATAACATCTTCGTCAGGTGGTAAATTTGGATCACCTGGAATGAATGAGCCAGGTTGCATGTAATATGAATTTTGTAAAAATTTACGATTATTGTACGCTTGATTTAAATGCTCATCCATTGCTGATTCATCAACAAATGTAAAACCTGCAAATTTAGCTTGCATTGCTGGTGATAATGGAGTGGCCGCAATAGATGATTGATTTTTGTTCATATAAGAAGTAGAAGCTTGAGTAAATTCGGGATCAAAATTAGATGTATCAGTTTCCGAACTTAGGTGTGGCTTGAATGGTGGTGGTATTTTCTTTTCTCTCAACGCATCCCAATCTATATCAGCGAAAAATGGATGTGCTCTCAATTCTCTACCATCATCTACCGAACCCAATCTATGATTTGGATTTCTATTTAATAAACCTTTAACAAAGGAACGACCTTCGGGCGATAAAATATCTCTAGGAAACTTAACCTTACCGAAAGCGATCTTTTGATACATTTTTTGATTATCTTCTGCAAAAAATGGAGACCAGCCACAACACATCTCAAATATCAGAACACCTAGTGACCAAAAATCAACCATTTTTGTATAACCGGATTCATCTAGTAGTAGTTCTGGAGCTAGATATTCGGTTGTACCACAGAAAGTATTAGTACGATCTTTTAAATCAGCTTTGGATAGACCAAAATCACATAAAGCTATATTACCATTTGCATCTAATAAGATATTTTCGGGTTTCAAATCTCTGTAAACAATATCATTATCATGCAAATATTCCAATGCCAAAACCAATTCTGCGATATAAAATTTGGCACGATCTTCTGTGAAACGACCTTCCTTTTGTAAATGCCAAAATAATTCACCACCACTCATAAAATCAGTAACTAAATACAGATCTGCCGGAGTTTGGAAAGAAAATTTCAAACCAACGATAAATGGACATGATTTTGATGCAGTACGTACAAGAATGTCCCTTTCACCGATGGTGTGTGCAATTTCATTCTTTTTGACAATAACTTTTTTCGATAAAACTTTCATAGCGTAAATTCTTTTAGTATCCTTCTTTCTTACTTGATAAACTTGACCAAAAGTACCTTTACCAAGTAATCTCAAAACTTCGAAATCGCTTGGACCATAATGCCTCTTTTTAGTCACGGCATAATCCCATTTTATCAATATGTCACCAGAAATATTTTCATCCAAAACTCTTCCTTGTAAGGTATGCCATTGACAATCTGATGCAGTATGTGGAGTTGTATGAATATTTGGGCGTAATCTTACTTGACCCAAGAACATATCATCGTGAGCAGCATCATAGACAGAAATATCTAATTCTGAATGAGCCCCTAAAACATCAAAAGTAGTTTTATGATGCCATATTGGACATGAGGAATTAGTGTTTGCATTGGCTCTATTGTTTTGATTTAGAGTACCATTGCTGTTCATTAATTTATCAAGTTGTGACGACGATCTATGGGTATACAAAGGTCTTAAATTGTTATTTTCTTTAATTACAGGTAATGGATTATTGTTATTATCGAGTTGTCTCTTGTTATTATGACTGTTTATGCTATAGTTATGGCTATTTTCTGTATTATTTGACGTTTCAGGACCATCTGAAATAAATTCTGAACTTTCGAATGTACAGACAACATAGGGTTGAGAATTGCTAGATCTCGTTAATAAATTTCTAGCTTCCACTATAGTAAGCTCTAATTTACCCCTTGGAATATCAGTATCAGGACCAGTACTCTGAGGAGTTGTTACTGTTCGTACGCTATCTGTATTTGGAGATAAACGATCCATATTATTCAATTGACTTGATAAATTTGATTTCTCAACATCATTATTAATAATCTTCTCATGATGATGACTATGACTATGACTGCTATTACCAGCGTTCCCTATAGGTTGTAGATGATTGTTTTGATGATTGCTTTGATTTATATTACCATTTTCTGTGTTCATAGCTTTCATTTGAGAAATGACATTTTCAGATGCAATACCAGTAGTTCCCATTGCATAAGAATTTGAACTTAATGCAGTAGTAGGGGTAGCAGTGTGAGATGCAAATTTTGGGAAAAAAGCATTATTATTTTTGGTAGATTGTTGCTGATTTCCTTGACCAGAAGAAGAAGATTTTGATCCAAAAAAATTCATCATGACTATTCTCTATTATTAGTAATAAGTCAATTTCTTTCCCTTTTATTATTCCTAATGTAATGACAATGACAAAGGTAGAAAATTAGAAAGAGAATAGGTGAAAGATGCAGATTGTACAAAGCAGTATTGTTAAATATAAATAACCTTTAAATCTCTATCTCAACCGAGAAGTACCAGCTGTTTGATTCAGATTAGAAGCAAAAAAAATTTTTAAGGAAAGAAGAAAAAAAGGATATTATATCAACTTTCTGGCTCTGATATAATATAATATAATGTAATGTAATATAATATAATGTAATATAATCCCAATGCAGCAGCAGCAACAGTATTATTATTATAGCAACAACCTTTTTATTCCCCCCTGACGTCTAAGATACCTCGATCCTGAGTTCTCGTAGCACGATAGGTTAACCTAGGATGGGATGGAGTGGGATAGAATAGAATAGAATAAATTGAAACTTAATCTATTTGTAATATATATATATATATATCAACCTGTATATTATTCTTGTTACTGATTAAACTTTATTCTTTTTATTGCAATAAAAAAAAAGAGAGAGTGAAAGAGAAAGAGAAAGAGAATACACCTTTTATTAAATAACTAACTAATTAATGGGAAACTGAATGAATGCATCAATCCAGTAGCGTAGGAAATTATTCTACAGGCAAATAACTGATGATAGATACAAAAATTTTAATATTATCACGATTCCTGTTATAATTCTAATTCTAATAGGAATCGGTATAGTCAAACCTCTGAGATAACTGACTAGTTCAACTACTACAGAAGCTGATAGCAGTGGTTCTCTTGCAAAAAAAATAAAAGGAAAACAGAAGCCAGTTACGAATTAAATCAAGCAATGGCACCGTTAATTGCAGTTTGTCCCAATCTAATCTAACTCACCTGAACTGAACTGAATTATAACTATAACTATAACTATAGCTCAACTAAACTAAACTAAATTTAAACTAAGAAATGAGGTTAGTGTATACAGTAGCAGCATAGATCAAAGCATTGCTATTCAACTTTCTTATTTCAAATCGAACAGAAAATTTTTCAGTGAGCTTCTCTGAGGACCAAACCCAGAGACACCAGATCAGTTTCTTTTTAGATGGTAATAAGAAACTATCTATCCATCTCTCTTGAGTAGATAAAATCATGGAATGAGCCAGTGGGTACCAAGAGGTTTGTCAAGGTAAAACTCAGAGATCAGAGAAACAAGAGCTGGTGATGATGCTATTATAAGATGCTTGCTGTAGAGTGTAGATTGCTGGGTTTGGTTATGGATTAGGTTTTTCCGAGAGTATATGGTTAAATTGGTTTCGAAAAGCTGTGGCTTTCCTTTTTATTCCATTGAAGAACCAGCTTTCGTAGGTGTATGTATGTATGTATCTGTATACTATCTGTATTTGTATATGAATATAAATATGAATATGAATATGAATATACATAAGTGCGTATTTAAAGCAGACGTTGGGTCGCAGTAGTTATGGTATGGGAAAAAAAGTGGGCTTTCTGTAGTTGGCCTCTTCGATAAGTTGGTCAAAAAAGGGCAACTACAACGACTGCTGTAGCAGCAACCAACAGCAACCAAGAGCTTCTTGAACTCAGCCAACTCTGCGGGAGAGGAAAGGAAGGTAGGCAGATTATACAAAAAGAACGAAGAACCAAGAACCAAGAACCAAGAACTAAGAACTAAGAACTAAGAGTGGGAAAGTGTCTGGGATTTTGAATCGTTGGCTATGGGAAGAACCAGGATTGAATTGACAGTAAAAGGAAACTTGAATATTTAAATTAAGTGTATATCTCTCTATTCATATACATCCGGTAGTCTTAAGAGTTTTGTCTACTCTTGGAGATAGATTAGCAGGATTTTCTGAGTGTGCTTACTGTGTATGTGTGTTCCTCTCTCTCTAGAGGTCGTATCTCAGTATGATATGTGAAGTTTGGGATCTTGGTTTACATTCAGCTTAACAACCACTTCACCAACCTTAAGAGATTAGAGATTATATACAGTTCCTAATGCTGAGCACATAATATTACGAACGATGAGTACTACTTACGAGTACGTAAGTAAGCTCAGACCAATTTTCACTAAATGAGTGATGTAATCGGAGAAAGCTACTTGCATTTTATAGATCTCTCAATAAATAGATATCAAAATTATATGTCTATCAAAATTTCATCTCATTAGTTATAGCGTGTGGTACTGAGCTTTGGTTGCTTGCTCGATTGATTTCAATCAATCGAGCATTAAAAGATAAATTAAAGTTCAGTCACGGTAAACCTCTAGGTTTTGCATTGTCCCGTTCACTAGTGTTATTTCAAATGCCGGTATACAATCCAACTATTCGGTGTTTTTCTATCTTTTACATTTGTATATGTTATCTCAAATATTTTGTTCAATCTTTGTCAATATATTTTATCATATCACTGCTTGTTTTGGCTGGAATCTAATTTTTCTCACTGTTGACCAACTTTTCTGTACTATCCATGTCCATGTCAATGTCTATGTCTCCCTTCCTTATTTGTAACAAATCTTAAGTTAATTTTAATTAAAAGTTTTAAATTAAATTCAATGATTTGTAATAGAATTTTACTGCTGCTTTTTTTGGATCATACGCCATTTATAAAAATCGTCATCACCTCGCCATTACGGTCATTATTAATATATCTATTTTTATTTTAATTCCATCTTTTTTTTTGATAGCATGCATTATTACATTTTTCAATCCAACCTCTATTATATGGCTACTTCGTTTTAGTCAATTCCATCTAAACTATTCAATGATATCGAAAAATGTCTATGGTCTTTCTCATTCGAATTATTGTATTTCCTAATTTTGATATATACTCCCCTCCAGTTCCTCGTGAATACTTGACGATTCCACCCATAAATTATGTCTCTTCATATGATGGTTTAAATGATCTCATTTATCTTCATCGTAAGGTCTTCTTCCTTATCTGAGTTAACAAAAGGTCTTGATTAACCAACTACATATAGGAAATATACGTATTATAAAGTATCAATAATGCATGCTTGCTTTACTAATTTCCCAGCATGAATACATTTGATGCTCTTAGAACTGTGGTTAGCAAGATGCCTGCCAAGTGACTTATGCAAAACGTTTAAGTTCAATTGTAAAATTTGTGCATCAATTAATAATCAAGAGGTATAAGAAAATATACTATCTTCTGTGGGACTAGTATATAATGTACAAATGACAGGATCGAAAGCCCGGTTCTAAAGTTCAAATAATGAATTTCATGAGAGATACAATTGTCTGATAGTTTTGTTCTTATATTATTGCAAAACGAAAGACAATTTGATTTATATTATCCACACAAAACCCCAAATAGGAAGAAACCACCAATTATATATCTGTAAGAAGCAAAAACCCCAGTTTTCTTTTACATTACCACCTCCAATATCAAATAAATCAATCCTTTATATCAAGTAGAATTTCTTTCAGATTAGACTGAATCCAATATGAATGTTTTATTGTGGTAAATAAGGGGAACAAATTAAATAATTATTGGCATATCCCAATATATTAAGCTAAACAAAGCTATTTAATTCCTCTCGCCTTGATTATACATCAAATAGAAACTATTTGGCCAAGAGCCTTCGTAAAACAGGCACAATTTATACAACTTCTGTGTTTTAAGGCATCTCCACACGGTGCACCAGATTGATATTGTAGAGAAATCTTAACAAGAAGTGTCCATAACATAATTGAATTCAGACACAACTTTTAATTGACAAACTTGCTTAAAACTGACATGTATACAGTCACTTGTTGAATATAAGTAATCAATCTGCTGTCGTCATTGTAAAGCAAAGCTACTGAACTATTAAAAAAATAAAGGGTACCATCAACTTTCAAAAAAAGAAACCAAGTTACCCGGGCTTCAACACACTCACATGATGTTCACCAACAAAAGTGACTATCAACACCTATACACCATATACACCACCCGTACATCCAGAAGTATATTACACATATATTTGTATATTTCTCATCTTGTTTCCTTGTCACGTCCCGAAACACCCAAAATCCAGCGCAAAAGAAAATCAATATAAAAAAATTGGACAGCTTCCTGTCCCTCCCTCGATAAGAAGAAGACTGAAACGATTAATGTTTGTAGTTTCGAATTTACCCGGCAGGGAGGTTCCTTTCCAGTGACTTTACCGTACCATCACCTGCCCTCCCAAAGTGTGGGTCTGGGTTGGACAGTCACCAAAGATCGAAACCATATGACAATATTCTACTACCTGGTTCACCCTTCTACACTGTGTGAGTTGTTCTTTGTTCAAGTAACCTAGACTGGTTTCCCCTTCCAGACAGGTTGTTGGTTTAGACAGACAAGATTCAAACGCTAGGCAGGAAAATATTTTTTTTCCCTTGTTGTTACTGTTGTTGGCTTTCTGGAAAGAGAGATCGCTGACCAAGCAGACCACCATGATCTCTTTCTATCCTTCTGGCTTCAGCCTAACGATCTAGTCTGGCCTCTCTCTCCTCCTCTGTCTGGGTTACGCAATCACTACACTACAATAGTTTTTTCCCTGGCCTGTGCAAAAGACTCCCCCCCTCCCCAGCAGCACCTTTTGGAAAGGAAAACTGAAATTTTTTCCAAATTCCTCCCCCAATCAAAAAAATTGGACAACCCTAAAAAGTTTCCACCGCTGAAAGGTTTCACTTCCTAATATGGCTGCTCTCTATCCAAAATTTTTCCTTTAGGCCCATAGAAACTGGTTTTGTTAAATTCCTAAACGTCCCAATCCACCCAGTTTAAGACCCTAATCCTACTTATGTGGAAAGT